TTGCCAATGGGGAGTCACCTTCAGTTGGTTTGATTAAACTCTCATTCTCATAGGCATTCTCATTTTTTTGATTAAAAAATTCACTAATTGTTGTGTCAACAGTGCCAAGTGGTTCGGGAGTTTGAGCTAAAGCAAAAGGATTCCCAACAACAGACGAGTCCATAGGCAAAATAAAGTCTTCTCTGGCATTGGATGTTGGTGGTGTTCGACTTGACTTGTCAAGCTGTTGCCATGGAATGCTACTGGAGGCACGAAAGTCGATTGCACTTGTTAGTAGGTGCTCCAGATAGGCTGCATCCTCCTCTCCCAATTCCACATCCGCATCTCCATCCAGGAGGTGCAACAATGGCTCCACTTCGAGGGATTTTGCAATTCCTGCTGCAGTGACAAGGAGGAGGGCGTCTTTAATGAGTTGATGATGCTCCTTACTGATAACACAAACTCTCTGAAAGTTGGTTGATGATAGACGAAATCTATTCTTGACAAGGTGATGCGTTTTGGCAACTTTAAATTTTGCACACATTAATGCCACTTCACCCAATCGAGTGGAAAGAGTGGACAAGTCTTTTGCCTGTTTTGTGGATATTTGATAGGTGGGAGTGGAGTTTGATGCTTTCAGTAGATCGGTGAGAAGATGTGTTAGTTGAAGTTGATCACAGTGTGGAATAACTTTGGTGTAGAATTGAACTGATGGACAGGACGAGGTTTCGCCAACACTCACAAGACTTTGTGCCTCTTTGAGGACGCTTCTTTGCACATCGGAGGCAATTTGACCCTCTTCTGCAAGTTTCTGCAATTTGACACTCATGTGAGCTATTTTCATGGCTGCCACAATGAGTGGTGAATCTTGGTGGCTAAAGATGGTCGGAGGCGTGGAGACAGCACTAAAGACAGACGCATTTGTCATTGTTACTAACTCCAGAAGGAAGTTGGCATCTTTGGAGGTGAGATTTACACCTTGTGGTGATGCTTCCAGACGACAAAGGAAGTCACAAAGCTCCTGTTTCATTTCTTCACTCTCTTGAACATGTGGATGTTGAAGGAGTGATTGCAGATGCAATTGAAGGAATCGATTGTATGGAGGTTGAATTCGTCTTGAGGCGAGACATCGATGCAACTTTACAAGTGGATCCAATTCTTGTTCATCTTTATTGTTAGCAAGAAATGCAAAAAGTTCACTTTCTAATTGACAAAGCTCCTCCCTATTTGTGGAAAGTGGAGCTTGAGGTGAAGTGGTTTGTAGTAGAAGGGCCTTCAATGTCGGTAGTCTTTGCATTTGATCGTGCACTGAAAGGTGATTCAATTCGGCCTCCAAACTTTGACGAGTGTAGGGAGAGAATTGAAGTTTCAAATCAACATCTTCCCTTGTGGTGTTGGCTAAGAGATCAGTGACTTGTAGCAAAAGTTGTGATATCGCGGTGTGCTCATAGCCATCATCATCGGTGTCCACAAAGACTGAGGAGCTACGAGCCAAACCGTTGCATGAATTGATGCCTTCAGAACGACGATTTTTAAAGACTAAATCCTCCTGACGTGATAAAGTGAGTGTTTCATTGCTCGATTGACTCCTATCGTATCCAGTTAAACTGCAATTGTCATGTGTTGTCCGTTTCCATGGACGTTTCTTTGCATTGCTATTGGTTTGAGTCCACTTTGGTGAAACGTCTGGAAGGCAAGATGCAACACATCCACTCATACAGCCATCAAATCCAAATTCAAACCTTCCAGTTGGTATTCTACCCATCCCTACACCTTTCCCCAAAAGTCGACGCTTGTCACCGCGATAGTTTCTGCACCAATTCAACACCTCATCTACGAGTCTACGTCTCCCTTGCAAGGGCCTTAGAATAGACTGTCAGATGAAAGCAAACTGTGAGGCGAAAAATCTTTCCCTCCTTCAGCTTCAACATACAGTGAAAGGAGGAAGGAAAAAAAAACATGTTCATGTGGTGTGTCGATGGCCTTTTTTTCCCTTCCTTCCCCTTCCCCTCTCCCCACGCCCCTCATTCAACAAGGTCAAGGGAGGAGAGGGGGAGAGAAAGCAATCTCATTCACTTCCGCTGTCACTTTTTAACTGATGTTCAAGAGACCACTTTTTCTCAGGAAAAAAGTGCCAGTCCAATGGAGAAGTGACCTTAAAAGGAAGGTGGAAATCGAGCTCTTCCTCTCTCTCCCCTTCCGGTTGTGTTGTTTTAACTATGGGAGGAGCATTGGCTGACCAATCGTGAGTCCTTCGTGAGGAAGTACAATCGGATTTCCAACTTCCGTCTAGGGATACGAGTGTTTGTGAATGACAAGGAGTCGCTTCTATCAATCAGCGTTCCTCTGTGAGGCGTAAAACTGGTGAGACATCAAAGACACCTTCTTTTTGAAGGTTGTTAACATTTTGCCTACCATTACACCTTCTCAGATGGATCGAGTGACAGCTATTTGCAGAGCAATCATAACCAACATCAAAGCTCTACTTTGTAGTCTTCAAAGACTCCTGTTATCTGCGTGTGTCAACTCAACTGCGGACAAAACATCGTCCTCTTGCTGCGTGTCTCGCCTCAAAGGCATCACAAATGCCAAAATCAGGTGAAATTACATCAACCCTCAACCCTCCTGTGAACTTTAAACGTCAAGGGAGAGAGAGACACAGTGGAACGAATAAGTGAAGGTCACCTCACTGACCTGACTTTCCTTACAACCTGTCTCAGGGCATTAGAAAATGTGTAAAAGCATAGGTTTAAAGCATTTGCCATCCTTCTGTCGTCCTTAACTGACATTGACAGCATTTTAGGTGTAAGACGTGATAAGGCGAAGACAGTTTTGGACGGTGTGTGTTTAGTAGGCAGTTCAGCGTCTGATGGTGGTTGACTGCGTTGCCACATGGGCGAGTGGTAGTGTGGATGAATCATCGAGCCCTCGCCACACCGAAAGCTTATCACTCATGGCACAGAAGTAAAAAAATGACAACCGTTCATTCCAAAAGTCATTTTATCCCCATTTAAATCTCAATTAAGCATTATTTCAGTCTATGACCTGAAAAAAAATAATGACCTTAACGAAGGTGTGAGGGTGAACAAGGAAAAAGTGGGACAACAAAATTGGTAGACAGATGAAATAAAAATGACTTTATTGCATACTGTGTGCCAAAAAAAGGCGTTTCCTTAACATTTATTGCCAAAAACATCTGTTGCCAAGTCTTGTGTATAATTTTTTGTAAGCTATAGGACAGTAAGTAAATGTGCTTCTCGCAGTTCTCTTTGCGATTTGAGAGGTGAGAGATTAATCGTGTGTTTAAAATACTCGTCTTCCTATTTTGCTCTTGCCATACGGGTGAATAAATGTCTCCCTTCATATAATTCTCCCGCAAACTAACACAAACAACCTTTTAAAGCCTAAGGAATGCATAAGCGTTTAATTATTAAAGCATAAAAGGGGACAATGGGGTAGAGACAAGACTCACTGGTACAACATGCTCCACTGGAACAACATCCACCCATTCTGGGAGATAAAGCAAGGGAATTGAGCAGAGAAAAATGTATGTTAAGTAAAATCGAGATCAAAAACGGTGTTCCAGAGATTGTGTACACCACACGCAAACAATAGGATCACATAGTGTTGACGTTACCGCATGGTCAAGAGCTAGTACCATCGCCTTAGCCCTGGGTGTAACGACCAATTAGCGATTTGTATGGCGATACCTAAACATTTGATTGGTCGACTAATTGAATCGTTGATTGGTTAGTTGTTGGCGTGTGAATGAATGTCGACTTGCACGCGTTGCGGGCATGGATTGCGCCGGTGCTATTCACGTCTACGCACAACCTACCCAATCCAACTCCACAAAACACGACGCCCACCACACCACATCACGTAACACAACAAAACACGCAATACACCCACACACACACGCACACACAAAGTGGTGATAATGATAGGCCTGGATATTCAGTGCCATGATTAGGCAGACCATGGCGAGCACACACGCACACCTTTTCTTTGCTCTCGACAGGCGAATTCAATCATAGAGTGTGGCAAAAATGCTGAGATAAATTAGTATTTGTTGGCGTGAACAAATTTGCACGCATATTTATACTAAAAGATCATCTGTTTCATGAAGTAAGGAGATTGCAAAAGGACTTATCACCACAGAGCAACGTGGGACAAGAGGTGCTCCCATACCTTCAATTTCATCTTCTCTAAGTTTGATTTTGCATAGAAAACGGTAAATAAGATGCAATTAATCGAGGTTTTCTTAACTGCGTGGTCGATGGGACACGATTTTAAGTCTTTGGTGCCACGAAAGAGCTACCCACCGATGCTCTTTGTGTAGAAGAAAAAAAACCATCGCGTTTTACCAATTCATTTCACTGTGGCTAGCATGATAACTCTGTTTCCTGAGCCCTCATCCCATCATCAAAATGAAAAATGTGAATTATGAAGAAGAGCCCTCCCTCTTCCGGACTATTTAAAGGAAATTCTGCCCAGCTGCTGGCATTTTTTTTTAAATGAAAATAATTCAATGTGGTAAAATAGGGTAGCAAGAGGACCTTAACTGTCTTTACTTATTCATAAGCCAGATCTGTTGAAATTTTTCAATTTTCATCTCTCCTATTGGAGCCAAAAGGGGAAGGTATTTAAAGAGCTACCACCTGTCCCACTTTACGTCAAAAATTTGCTTTTTTAGCCAGTAGGAGATAGTCATGTGCTCGCTCTGTGGTCATAACCGCGTCAGGCCATCTAACTTGATGCCGCATTTCAATCCATCATAAACATCACTTAGAATGGCTATTTTTTTCGGATAAAAGGAAAGCGACGTGGTTGGACGCGAGCGGTTTAAAAGGGGAAAGGAGGAAGGATGAGGTGGATGCATACGAAGCCACTGAGGAGGGGCGGTTCCCGTTGCTGAGTGGGAGATGTGCTCTATAAGCAAAACATTGAAATACTGGGATAGAGAGGGAGAGGAAAGGAGGGCGAAGGGGCAAGTGAAGAGGGATGGATGAAGTGCTGAAGTGGCACCAACTTTTACCGTTTATTTTTGCATCCATCCTGTTAACTGAGTCTTCACCGTTATTTGCCGTTTGAATTCTACGTATGAGGAAAAAAAGTGCAAAATAAAGGAACTGAAGTCACTACTTTTTGTCATACTTTACAGAAAAGTATAGTGAATTTGATAAAAAAAGAAAAACAACGTCAAATTGTCCCCTCAAAATCACCTCACTTAAACAAAAGGGGAATAAAGTATGGCCACCCTTCATATCAATTAAATTAATAATTTCTACGCTTATCTACAGCGGCGTGTCACATAAAACGTAAAAATTTCTTAAATTTACTAAAATTTCGCTTTGTTAGTTGGAAAACCTCAATTATACGCAGGTTAACAGGATACGCTGTGTGACGTTGTGAGAAAGGGCGTAGGCAAGCACTGCACCAACTTAGAAGGTTTGAAAAGGTTGCCTACCCCAGGGAGTGAATTTCCTCATGCAGGACCCCAGAACTGGATGTCGACGATCTTAAAGAAGTGACTGTTGTTAGGGCCTCCGCTTCAACGTCTGGGGACATTTCTGGCGACGGGACTCCATGAGGCCGCCATAAACTGCTGCCATCGTCATAGTCCGTGGAATCTCCTGGTTTGATTTGATAGCGGGTTTGTAATAGTTTTAGGTTCGTCCAACTCCCCACTCTTAAGCCGACGGCTTGGAGCTGTGGTTCCGGACACTTTTCGTTTGCTGTTGCGATGTTTAGAGAGTTTAGAGCTTTTTCGGCTTTTAGATTAAGCATGGAGACCGGAGATTTAATTGAAGGTAGTGGAATGAACTCAGGAACGTAAGGGTTGCTACCCGTGCTGTGTTTGAATTGCTGAATCTCCTCGTCCATTTGTAAAGGAAGAAGAATGTCCAAAGAGTCTGTTGAGAGCAGGTTGGTTGAAGAGCCCGTAGAATGGATTCTCTTTGAAAAATCACGAGTCCAAAACCACTCTAACGTGCTCTTGGATCGAAATAAAAGACGATTTTGAGCTCTCCACCTGCTGCAGATGTTTGGAAGACTCTTTGAGCATAATTTCAGAAGATGAGGACGGAAATTTTCGACATTTATGTCTTCTGATATAATTTCAGTAGCACTATTGTTATCAACTAATTGGTAGGTTTGACAGCCACGATTAAGTGTTGCTTTTGAAGAATCTGAAATCCATTCAGGCTCCGAAAGATCAAAATTTTCACTCTGGCATTTTCGAAGTTTGTAGAATGAACTTCGTATTTTGGTTGAAGTGAACTGAGATGGGTTGGTTGGTCTTGAAATGCTTTCTGAAAGGCATTGCGAGCCCTGATGGACAAGTCTTCGTTTCCTAGACCGAAGAAAGTTACCACTACTTATAATGGAATAAGTAGATTAGACTGCCCAACGTTATCGATTCTAACGATTATGCTGGTAAAATTTGCGGTCATTCGCCTTCCATACTTTTCTCTACAGACTCAACAGGTACTTGCTGGAAGAGAAAGTCGAGCCCTTACCAAAGCTGGATCCCGCCTAACCTATTTTCGCTCTTCTTTTTATGTTTGGAACTTTTCCTCCGAACTCCACGGCTATCATATCGACGCCTGAAGTCGGTCAGCATTTTCTGACCACAAGATTGTTTTGAAATCTACTATTATAAAACAATTTTTGGGAACTTAACACTTGTAGGACAATCAACACTAATTTGCGTTCATAAAAAATTTAGTCGATTAGTTCGTAATTTCGGCGTTATTTGGCGGTAGACTATGAAGTTTTTCTAATCAGCAGGCGAAATTATCGGTACGTTTACCTTGTTTTATGGTAGCCTTCCAAGTTGTCCACTTTGTGAAGCTGAAAAATTAAAGAAGGATGTCAGAGGGATAAGATTCAATGCACGTGAACTAGGTGTGTCCGCATATTTAATTTGTTTCTGATGGCTAGCCAGGAGGAAGAAGTGAATAATTAATTTGCTCTCTCTTGTCTTCCGAAAACCATTTTCATAATCCCCATCCAAAGCAAATAAATAAACAATCATGATTAGCCAATTGAATTAGGGAGTTGGTCGTATTGACCAATCAAATTATGACTTTTGAGTGTTTAAATCTGATTGGTCTCAACTTGATTGCAATTGGGGATCCGCCTTATTAAATAATAAGATGATAGCCAAAATCGTTTGATTATCTACATATAATTTAGCTATCGCTTTATCTTCTTCCCCATTTTTGTCGTACAGGTTTTTAAATCCATCTTACCTTAATGTAAAAATTGAATTGCAAGTAAAATTAGGTGGTTTGCCAGCCCGTTTTATTAGCCTGATCCAACATTTCCTTCTTCATGCAAAGCAACCTTATACGTGGAGCCTGTGCAGGCGTGGCGTATAAATTGAGGTTCAGTAGAGAACATTTTCAAGGATCGTGTTGCATCCACCTCAATTTTAGTGAATACATGTCATTTGGTGCCAAAATCTGAACCCCAGCCCCTTCCTCCCCCGTCTTAGCTTTATTCTCAAAGGTGATGCCAAGGAAAGGGAAAGGGAAATCGCCCATAGAAGTGTCGTCTAGAGTTATCGATGTAGAGAAGTCCCCAAATAACTCTGAACGCCTTTGCGGATGAAAGGTCAGCACTTCAGAGTAGTATCCAACGCCACTTTCGGTCTCAAACCAACCATTCACCTAACGGCCACTCTTCTCAAAATCTTAATTGTGGTTCATAATCACAATTGGAAAAGGTAAGCAGAAAATAAACATATAAATTAATATTTTACCAGAATATCGTCAAGAGAGGTCTGCAGTCCTTTGTGTCGATGCAGTTGCAAATGAAGGCCACCACGTTGTAGAGGCAGCTGAAGGGGTAACCAATTCAAACGACTACTTTTAGACTGAAGGTGTACAAAGGGCCACTACTTTAGCATCACCACCCTAATGACAATGACGCGTGATGAAAGCTTCTCAACCAACATCTATGCACTTGACACATTCACACATTCCATGCCCAGCCCGGTCAAGTTCATGCTTTAAACAGTCTGCTTTGCCTCACCTTTCTCCACCCGTCGATTTCATCCTTTAGACGATTGATTTCCACCAATAGGGGATTGGAATCACCTCTGTTGGAGGCCTTTCAGAAAGAGGAGAGAGGAATGAGAGAGTGACGGACCACTCACCTACCTGATTCCTGATTGGATGATTTTTGATCATTTTAATTCTTCGAGCAAAACGAAGGGAGTGTAGCGTCTCATGCAGACACAGTTCAGACGAAGATACAGCTACAAAAGATGTGAATTGTATGTGACTTTTGGTAGCTGACAAGGTTAATCAATGGCTTATTTCATACTACGTACTATGCTACTTATTTGATTTCAGCATTCTGCATATGATTAAAACTGACAAGTATATTGTGGCTTCTTTGTCCTGTTCGCAGGATTGGAAAATGTCAAACTGACTTAAAACGACTACAAGAGAAGTGCTACGACGGCATTACAGCGGAAGTTAGGCTTAGGAGGCCAAAGGGGGTTCCACCACGAAATATGTTGCTAACACCATTTATGCAAGCATAAAAAAGGGCATTTGAAGAACACAAGTGATGACAAATCTATTATTCAAAAGGCGTCCCACTAATGCTTATTAAAAAGGTGCAAGTTGATCCGGTTTAATGTGAACGAATTTTCAATTAATAGAACGGAATGCATGTGGTCACTGGGAAAACCATTTATAAGCAAATTTACTAATCACGACAGCCGTTTTGGAGTTGCCGCCAAGGGAGTCGCGTAGAAGCCATGTCAATTTGGAGTCTCTGTAGGGAATGTGAACTTTCTGTTGCCTCGGTAATTGCATGAGGAGGTGATTAAATGGGGTCGGACTACTTAGGGAGGAATGCGGAGCGCTTGGAGCCTCCTCTCTGGCCATCTCAGCTAAGGAGGAGCAAAAAAAGTGAGGGAATAAATATTGGATGAAATAAAGTACCGCTGGAGGACCAGTAATAAGCGCTTTTTGAAAAATGAGATTCAGACTTTAAACGCTCTCTCTTTATCCCGCCATTTGGGATGGATTAGCAAGTAAAAATGCACGCGGCGCTTAGCAGAGATTGGTGACACTTGAAGAATGTTTTAACGGATTCAGGCAACACTTGTGTCCTTTGATTATCACTAGAAAAGCCTCAAAACGCCTTGAAAAGTCGGCTAACTTTGTTGTCACTTAAAGCCTACGCTTTGGCCTTTGAGACAAACTTTGCGGTGTGAATGACGAGAAGAGGCGTCGGGCGGGAAAATCTCCAAAGACTGTACGATGCAAGAGGCAAGAAAGACGTCTGTGCTTGATAGTCACTTCATCTTCGTACTTCACTGACAAGGTGTGAACACCTAAAGCGACACCACTGGGAATCATGTGGACAATTTCCGTTTTACACCTTCCCTTATTGCAGTCGCGCAGCGATGGCAATTCGTTCGGTGGCCAATTGGGGTGCCCAACATTGGTTTTTTCGTCTCTTAGGCCAAACGTAAGTGCAGACACAATTGAAAAGGCTGACGAGGGGAAGGGGTGATGAAACGCAACATCTAGCTCGTGTGTGCTCGAGAACACGTCATGACGGCCGACGGTGGCGGTGTTTCGAGGGGTGCGCCAAAGACGTTGTGCGAATGAGGGGGGGAGCAATGCAATCGTGTTCATCTTGCTTCTACCGGGTGGATCGCTCCACATCTTCCCCCACCCCTCTCTCGATGTTGGTACTCACTCCTACCCAATGCCGACTGGAAAGTCTCGATAAGTTGCTGTCGCCCCGATTATTCGAGAAGGCTTACCTAATTTGCGAATGACGAGACTTAGAGTGCAGAGCGACTTGTTAATACTTTTTGTCTCGGAGAGGTAGCAAGGACCCAACGCGTGTCGTACTTTTTCACTAAAAAGCAATAAAAAAAGGAGTGAAGAGGACATTTTACCACTTCAATTAAAGCCTTCTCCTCTCATCAAGTCTGCCTTGTTCATTTTGTTCCTCCTAATGTCTCGCGCCTCCTCCTCCTCCTCCTCGCCCCTTTCTTTTGTCAATGTGAAACTACGCCTGTTCGACGCAAAGTGGCAAAAGTGTAATGCTAAAGCAGCACGGCAACCGAAACTGGGACCCTAACAACTGCGATAACCTTCTCTCTCCAAGGAGCGCTTCGCCTCGGTTTGGCATTTAGGCCTATAAACATCTTTCGGACTGATCAACCGATCCGTAAAAGATTGGCTTTATTTATTACAAAAAGTCTTTTTCCTTCCTTCCTTACCGCCTTTGAAAAGCCTTTTGGGGACTTGTTAAGATGGCTTTGTAGGACAAAATTACTAACCGATTTTATCGTTTAAGGTCATTGCATTAAAAAAAAAGCATTCTTAAGAACAAAGGTAAAAGGAAGAAATGATTACGGAGAACAATTGTAGGAGTTATTTGAGTGAATAAACAATCGCACCTGCCAGCGAGATCAATGAGGTGCAATTTTGACTGCAGTGATGAGATGCCCGAGCTGCTTTTGACATTCTAAAAGGCGTCCCACAAGAGGTGGCTCAAGAAGAATCCTCATTTACCTGATTAATGTAAATTGTAAAAATGGAATGACTTCGACTGCTCTTGGAGTTTGCCACTGTTTCAGTTGTGGCCCTAAAACGACACCTCAAGTGTGAGAGTCAACTTTCTTCCAACCTCAAGGCTGTTCCACTGTCAATGAGGCGTTGAACGTCATCCAAATGCGATACAGCATGCTTTGAGAGGTCTAAAGGGGAAAGGTTTGTGGGTGACAAAAAGGGTTTTGCAAACTCACTCTCCACGTAGGGTCCATCTTCTGGGTGCTCACGAACTCGTAAGGACACCTTTGCAGTCTCGTCTTCTGGGGTTTGCACTAAGAGGTCGTAAACGTGTTCGTTGTAGATTTCGAAAAAGCTAAAAGGGAGGAAGGGAAGTAGTCGAAGGGGTTATTTACACCTCCTTGAGGCCTCTGGGAGGGGGGCGGAATCGTCAAGGCAGGCGTTGCGGCTGCCACTCCACTTTTCAGGCAGTATTAAAATAGACTGGCAAACTATAGACGTCAGGACACATTTATGTTGGTCTCTTCCAGCTTGACGGCCAGTTTGTCCCGTAGTCTCGAAAACAATCACATTGCTTGTGTCTCCGAACCATGAAGAACGACTCATAGAAGCCTCAACACCGTAAAGCTTAACCAACTTCCATCCTGACTTTCACTGATTGAGCTGAAGCAAAAGAGAGAGGGGAGAAATCCCTATGGTACTCCAGCAGAAGAGACATTTCCAAAGTCGGGAGAAGAGATAGCGTCGCTTCGCGGTGAAAGGTTATACGTAACTCATTTCACTTGGCCTTCTTTTTCAGACCTCTTGATTCAACCTTCAGACACGGTCACACACAACGGTCGGCGGAACTTCCCACCATCAAATCCTCCTCCAGTCCATTGCCTCGGGAGGGAGGAAGGAGATTGGAGATGCTGAATTCCGACAGCTGCCTTCCTTCAACATCATTAATGTTGGAGAGTGTCAAAAGAAGGGTTCAACTACTTAAGGTTCTGTTTGACCGTCAGTTTCGGTTGCAATCAGCTGCCTATGAAGAGGTTTCAGGCAGCCCCGACTCAACAAAAGCGACGTGTTTTTGTATTTTTAGCTTACCATTAATCGCTGACATGATGGTAGTCGTCAAGTTGTCATGTTTAGCCTCCTAGATTAATGATTTTAGGACAGTGAATTAACTTTAGTCCCCAATCTCGGCACAACGCTCTTTTCGTCAGTGATGACTCCCAGAGTGTGGAACTGTGCAGTAAAAAACCAGACTGTCTGCTGCTACTGCTGCTGCAGAGAAGTGGCACCGAACCAACTTGCCTCTTCGGCCTCTTCCGATGGAAACCAAAGTGTGCTATTGCTTCCACGATGCCGAGAAGACCTCTCCAAATCTTTAGGAAAGAGTTAGTGAATTGTTTGAAAGCTGTTAACTTCTTGTTTGGTTCGAGGCAAATTGCTGGAGAATGGATGTGAAGAAGTTAGTGCATTCGGTCACTCGTGCAGTCCCGTGAACAACACAATCCATTTAGTCGATCCAGCTTATTTGACGCCTGCAACATTCGTGTTGCATGGCTGAACCTCGTTAAACCTTCCTCCTCTTCAACCTCTTAAAGCCTCCTCATCTCCTTTTCTCGTTTTAAAACTTTTGCTACCCAGCCAAATAGGTGTACATTTGGTAATAAAATTAATACATTCTTCCTTTTTGTCTCCGGAATAGGGAAAAAGTAAACCCTTGACACGATTGCCTTATCCTTTCAGATGAACATTTACAAGTCAAAAATGAGTCAGACACACACACACACATGGTGACAATGATTCTGATGATAAATTACAGACTACAAACTTACTAGGTCGAAAGTTGTTGGATTGTGCACACGCTTTTTGGGGCCGAATATTGCATTACGCTCAGAACTTTTAATGTAAAACTGAAATTTGTTTAATCCTGTTACTTAGCGACGCCATTTGGTGATTGTGCATATGTGCTAATTAGGTGCCCACTGCAATACAACAAACGAGGATCACGGATTGAGACATCGTACTCTGTTGCAAACATGTAAACAAAGCAAAATGAGACGAATCAACTACAATAAAGTCGAAAAAAGCAAACTTTTACCTTATCTCCAAAAACGTATCGTTTGGCATTCTACAAAGAGCAGATTCAAATAGGGCCTAAAATGGTGGTGTCTGTTACACCTCAACCTACGTTGCAACATTGGGGAACGAGACCGGGGCAGCTCTGTGTTTTACCGACTAAGTAACGATTATGTTTGAACATACCTTAGTGCCGAAAATTGTATACGTCTTTCCTGTTCCCGTCATGCCGTAGGCAAAAATGCTACAGTTAAATCCGTCCAGACACTCCTCAACAGCCTTTAAGCCAATACACTTAAAAATCTAAAGAAAAAAGAGACGATGGATTAAATAAAGTACAGAGCACCTCTTTTTGACTTTCCAAAAAGGAGTCTTTTGGATTGAAGATGTAGTCGAAATTGCACTGACGTGGTGAGCCGCCTACCATAAAAGACTAAAAGACGCTAAGGATGCGAAAAGAATGACTTACTGGTTGAGCTCTGGCGTTGAGTACGGTGATGGAGTTAGAGTGAATTTTGAGAATGTCTGGCCTTCCATCCTCACCTTTTCTGAATAAGCAACTGTGACACATGGAAAACAAATGTCCTACCTTGGCAAAATACGTAACGCCACTACTAAATCAGCCATTAAATTCAGCTAAAAAATGACAAATCTTGTGCAGTCTAAGTGTATTTATGTAAATTTTGGTTTTTAATATATTGAAACGATTAAATATGCATTATGAAGTGTTTTAGATCCCAACAGTTAAGTCTAAAATGTACTGACACTATAAAAGCCCGAGATTGAAGGGTATACAATCAATAAATGTCGAATTTATGTATAACTTCTTACTTTTGTTCCTCACAGAATTCAAAAAGTTGTTAGGAACTAAATTAAAAATGCATATTGGGACTCGTTGCCATGTCATGGAATGTCACACCGATGAGAAATTAGCTCGTTTTTGCGATATATTGATGGAGAGTCAAATACTGAAGGTGTATGCGTTTAAGAATTCCATTTGAACAAAAAATTCACAACAACACACCTAACACTAAGAAAAGTGAGAATACAAAACGTATAATGTTCAGTTGGAAATGTGACAAATGTTCGATGACCTACATTTTAATAGTATAAACAACGTGACACCGATAAATACACTCTAAGTTAGTTAGAAAAGGCCGGATAAAACTTAATGAGCATGGTGCGCCTGTAATTTAGCTTACAAATTCCATACCATACTAGTTGTATGAATTTAAATGGGATATCTAAATTGTTGTGATTTTTTGCGAATCTTGATGTAAAAATAATTGCAGCCAGGCGCAGTGCTCAAATATTTTTGATGTAATAGTATAAAAAGGCGAAAACATTTTCAATACTCGGTCTCATTGGTTGTAAGGATACTCAAATGTAAAATTATTCGGAATGCTACTACATAGTGTAAATGCTAGTGCACTTTCGCCAGTGTCTTTTGTTAATTTACCATACCGCATTTGTTTATCTTCACAGTTCGGAGTAGTGGTTGATTTGCGTGTTCTTTTATTCTTGTGCAATTATTTCATCATAGCAATTATTTCAGTGCCTTTGTTTGTAATATTAAGTGAGTATTATATCTTGATCTGATTCAGTATTTAAAGCATCGTTTTCTTTCGCTCTCTAGTTTTCAGTTCCTCTTAGGATGTCTCAAATTGAGGACCCTGAGCCACCTTCAGATCTCGAACAGCGCTCTGTCATCGATAAATTAGCCCAATTCGTCGCTCGCAATGGGCCTGATTTTGAACGCATGACAATGGAAAAGCAGCAGGGAAATCCTCAATTCGCTTTCCTCTTTGGCGGCGAGCACTCCGACTATTACAAGCATAGAGTTGAAGAACTGAAGTCATCCATGCAACAGCAACCTCCACCTCCCCAAATGGTGTCACAACAACCACCGTTCCATGCAGATTCATTGGCGCCCCCTGTATGAATAGCTATTTTAGCAGATTCCGGCGCCTATCCGTTCTATTTACATTTCATCTGCCTTCTTCCTTTGTAGCCTCAGTGGGGAGGCCCTCCATACAATAGGAACTGGGAAGAAGGTGGTGAAAGCTGGGGAAATACGCAGTGGCCCCCACCACCACTACCTCCGCAGGGTAACTGGGGTTCTAATTGGGGATCTCAAAATGGTCCACCCCCACCTTGGTGTCGAGGTCCTTATCCTCCCAACTTCTACCCCCCTCCTCCACCTCCACCCCCACCACAGCAGACACCTCCGTTGACAGAGGAGGACGTTAAGAGGAGCGAGGCAAATCTCAAAGCTCAGTATGACAAGATAATTGGGGAGGAGAAGCCGCAAGCTGTTCGGCAGTGTCTGGACAAGGCTCGCATGGATGCATTCATTAGTTCAGCTGCGACTCTATCTGTTAATCCAGAAGAATTTTCTGGTGCTATCCAGCCGCTAATCGAACTATGTACTAAGGAGAATATCGCTAAAGGAAAGAACTGGGCTGTGGAATTGATGTCGCGTGGTGAAGCTTATGCCAATCTTGTTGTCGATTATCTTCTTCTTCGTGCCCAAAATATGAATGCCAGTTTTGAGACGCGTCTGCACATCGTATACCTTATTAATGACCTTCTTCATTTCCTTAAGCGGCATTCTGATGTCGCTCATTTCCAGTCAGCACTCAATCGAATCGTTGTACCAGTATACTCATTGGCTCTTGAGATGGCAGATGAGGAGAAGAAGGTTAAGTTGACGCGGGTGCTCAGTTTATGGGAAACTAATGCCTACCTCCCTGATGATGTGTTGAAGAATATGAAGGAAGAGGGGATTCGCGAGGCTTTTATGAAGGAATGGAAAGTGGATCAAGATAAGGTTAGTGCTTGAACTTGAATCCTCTTAAATATTCTATTAGATGTACGCGGAGAAGATTGCCGAAGTGGAGGCTGAGCACACAACTCGTTATGAAGCGTTGAAAAAGCAGCACGACGACTTCGCCGAACACGTGCACAAGACTTTGGCGGCAGCGGCCGAGTCAGAACATCCGGAAGGTGGACCTCCGCCTTTTCCCGATTTTTCTCGATATGGGCCACCTCCACCACCTCCACAAGGCTTTGGTGGCGGCGGTGGTTGGGGTGGCGGAGGTGGGAATTTTGATCCTCCACCTTGTTGGCATGGTCCTCCACCCTTCATGACAGGACCGCCACCAATGCCAGGACGTGGTGGTGATCGGTGGGGACGGGGGAGAGGTGGTGACATGCCTTCTTACCACCCAGACGATGAATTTTACGATGGTAGAAGGGGAGGCCCACCTCCTCCACACATTCCATATCGTGGCGGACCTTCCAGAGATCGCTATCGGCGCGATGGACGATTTGATGAACCCTATTTTAATCATCATCACCACCAGGACGATCGTTCTTACCGTGGCGGAATGCAGCATCGACGCCGGTACGAGGAAACTGAGGAGGAATTACATCATTCTGGGGATGCAGAAAATCAGGAGTTAGAGGAGGAGGTAGAGCAACAACAGCAGGCTAATCCACCATCGAAAGAAGATCTGATTCCAAAAGTTCCTTTCTGGCAACTGCCTGCGGGTCTTATGCATCCGCTGATAGGACCAAAAGACTTTGATTTCACCCCATTGGATCCCAGTAAGCTTCGACTTCTTCCACCAGAACCACCCTCTGAACAATTAATGCTTGCTCTGGACGCATACTATGTCCAACCTTCGCACGATCGCCCACGTGATCCAGAAGGCTGGGAGCGGCTAGGGTTGTTCGAATTTTACCGAGCCAAAGAAGAGGCAAGAAATCAAATGGAAAGTGAAGCAAGTGCGGTGGTAACAGAGGAGGAGGAAGAGGAAAAAAGTGGTTCAGCATCGCCGGCGGATCGTCCAAAGAATCAGGGTCTTCCTCAGCTGGCTTACCTTACTGCTTATCCTAAATCTGCTATTGGACAAGCGATCCGTACAGGCCCAGCGGCGCTAATCGCCACACCTCCGCCTAATTTGGGAATGCCGAAGATGAATGCTCAGTTTGCAGCCGCTGCCGCGGTTGCTGCGGTTAACTCCGGAACTGGAAGTGCTGATTTATCAGGAGGAAGTTTGAAATATCCTCCACCTGGCGCTCCTCCATCAACGCAGCAGAATAGTGTCGGACAAGCACCACCACCTACCCAGTTAATTTCGAGGACTTCCAGATTTACGTCGGCTACTCGTCGACGCTCGAGATCGCGGTCTAGGTCGTACTCAAGATCTAGATCTGGTTCTCGATCAGACTCGCGTTCTTCTGGGTTAGTATTTTCACATCTTGTTCCTCGATGTGCCTTGAGACCAGTAATCTATTTCTTTTATCAGATCACGTTCCAGGTCTTCATCTCGTTCACGATCTCGATCTCGATCCTCTCGATCGCGCAGCCGTTCGCCTCCCTCTGACCGTCGTTATAGAGACCGGTCGAGGTCACCTAGAAGTACTGATGGCTCGATAACAACCGCAGGCTTTATGCGTCGTAGTGGTGTTGGAGGTGGTGGAGATCAGAGAAACAACCGAAGGTAATAGAAATAGGAATTCTTTAAATTTTTTTAGAGGTGGAATGGGAGGTAGCTATCCCCCTCCACAGCACCCTACTCAATGGGGTTACGATCATTCACTCCCTCCTCCACCAATGATGTCGCCATTTGATCGAAGAGGAGGTCCTCCTGGTCAAATGTATCCGGTGCGTAACTTAGTCAATTTTATGGCTTTTTTTTCTTTGATAATGTGTAATGACATCTAATTTTAGCCTTACGGGAGTGGTGGTTTCCGCGGCAACGGCTATAGCGCCTCGTCTCCCCCTCCCCCACCTCCTCCTCCACCCTCTCATTCATCCATGGGAAATGGCCAACGTGGAGGTGGTCCCTACTACGGAGGTGGGGGCGGGAACTCATACGGCAACACCAACAGACGTGGAGGGTATCAAGGCCGATAACATGTTGATTTTATCTGCATTTGTAACATTCTCGCCTCCATCGTGTTGCTTAAAAACGCCCTACCTTCCACTTTTCTATTCCAATAAAGACCATCCTCTGTTGCGCATGCGTTTTATTTCTTATCTTTAGCCCCTCTTTACTCCTAAGTTAATGCCTTGCCTTTATCTTGCAGTGAGGAAAGATGGTTAGGGTGTGCGTGGTTGGCTGTTTGCACGGTCGGCTGGATCAGGTGTACGCAGATATTGAAATGATGGATAAGGAAGCAGGCAAGAAGACGGAGTTAGTTCTGTGTTGCGGTGACTTTCAAGCCGTTCGAAATCCGGTCGACTTGCAGTCACTGTCAGTGCCACCCAAGTATTACGAGTTGGGTGACTTCTATAGGTGAGTGGGAGGGGATGACTTCTAACCTTCAACTTCTAGGTACTACTCGGAAGAAGTGACCGCGCCCATCTTGACCATATTCGTAGGAGGTAATCACGAGGCATCGAATTATCTACAAGAACTCCCTTATGGGGGTTGGGTGGCGCCTAATATCTGGTACATGGGTGAGTCTTGCTAGAGGCGTTCGCTCTCTTATGCATACCTTTGAGCGATTTCATGCAGATGCCAATGAATGGTTGGTGATTGTGACATCTTAGAAGCCTAGAAGTGCGTGTTGTTAGGGCCACTGGGTGAGGATAGGAGCATTAAGAAACCGTGGGTTATTCAGGTTTTCAAATACGTCATCCTGGCCTGGACCGTTAAGCATTTTCTGTGACACGGCCATGCACCGACTTCTCACGATGGCAACAGAGGAGAATCACTCTGCTTACTCGAAACTGATGCGTCTTTGGAGCTGTGTGTGGTGTTTGAGAGGTGAGAAGAGTTGGCTCATCTCGTCCATCGAGGTCTGTGGACGGGTCGCGGTCACGATTTGGCCTATCCGTGCCTAACATTGAATTGCACAGTTCCTGAAAGTTCAAAAGTGTTGCCGTCTCATTGAAGGATTTGCTTTTCAGAGGACTTGAAATCTTGCATTTCGCCTGCCCAAAGGCATTTTTTTTTTTATCTCCGACCTCTTGCACCAATCGGGAATGGGAATGCTGAAGGCCAAGTGAATGGCCTCCAGTGAGCCTCAAAGGTCCTCAATGCTCACAGCTTACAAAATTGACCTGTTGCTAAATTGTTTGTTCTCTCTGTGGTTTGTGTTAGGGCCTGGTGTAAGGTCCAGTGGTGCTCGCTGAGATGGTAGACGCGTAGACGCTCATTCTCAACTCATCGTTCCACCTCTACTTTGAATAGTCCTCCTCCTGCTCGATTCGGTACACCGTGAGCCCGTACAAAATCAGTGTTATTCTAAGAAGCGTAGAAAACAGTGAAAAAGTGGGGATGTGATGGTAACACAGGTGACCATGACTTGTCTGCGTTTTCAGGCTATGCTGGAGTTGTTCAATTTGCTGGTCTTCGAATCGGTGGTCTCTCGGGTATCTACAAACTTCATGACTACTGTCTCGGTCATTTCGAGCATCCACCATACAACGAAGCAACAAAGCGTTCTGTGTATCATCTTCGAAACCTCGAGGTCTTTCGTCTTGGTCAGATTTGTCGTCGTCTGGACATCATGCTGAGTCATGATTGGCCACGAGGCATCTATCACTACGGCGACACACAGGGTCTGTTGATGCGGAAACGTCACTTCAAGGCTGAAGTGGAGGCCAACACTTTGGGAAGTCCACCTGCAGAACAGCTGCTTTGTCGTCTGCGTCCACGATTCTGGTTTGCAGCACATCTGCATTGCAAATTTGCGGCAATTGTTCAGCATAGGGTAAGGTAATTTTTTCCTGACACGTCTCTATGGTTGTGCTTGAATCTCACAGGCATCGAACATCTAATCGAAAGACACTTTTTATGCACTTTCTCTGGTGTTTTCGCTAATCCCCCTTCTGCGTCAATCACCATAACCTAGTTGGGTCTTAGGGCTTCATTTGCTTTGCACAACGGTTCTCCCAACTCTCTGACTGCTAGTTGGTTGTTGGGTGATGGCATTACTTCGTGTTGGAACTGTTGCCTAAGCTTGCGACTGCCTCTCTGTGGTACACGAGGCCAGTCTTTATGGTGCCTGTCTCTGCAACTCGGTCGATGCAAAGTGTGTAAATTAGCGGCTTGTCAATGAAGTCACCTCTTGACGTAGTGTGTGCGGGTAATAGAAGCAGCCTGATAGTTCACCGTGCCACAAAGGTGTGGTGGCTTGAGGTCTGCAGAGGTCAGGAAGTTTGTGAGGTTAAGGTTTCTTGGGGTTATAGCAATGCCATGGTGGTTTGGCCCTTTCTTTCTTTCATTAGAATCCGCCGGATCGACAAACAAAGTTTCTCGCCCTAGACAAGTGCCTTGCATCTCGAGACTACCTCCAATTCCTGGATGTTGAACCGGATCCCTCACCTGCTACATTCGATGCAGAAGGCAATGTCGTCGACACAGAGGCGGCCGATAGCCCCTTAATCGTTACCAACACAACAGCACTGAGTGAGGACACAAAGGAGGAAGAAGGGGAAGAGGAGGAAAAAGGAAACCTGTTTATTGACCCAGAGTGGTTGTGCATCCTGCACTCGACAAATCAGTTTCTGTCTCTCACACAAATACCGTGCATGCTACCGGGACAGGACGGCAAGCCAATGTAAGTTTGTCTGCTTGACACAGTCGTTTGTGCATTACTTAAGCTGCCCACCCACCTCTCGTTACGCCATCAGCGTGGAGGAAAGTTGGAGGAATAGTGGGGGAGGGTTGCATTCACTCGCCTTGGGGGAGCTATCAGCGAACAATTTAAATCTTCTCTTCAAGACCAGAGGGGGGGGAAAAGGAGGGGATTCGAATGCACTTTTTGGTTTGCATCGGTTAAGAACTTCTGCAGTGCTCTACACGTTGCGCTTTTCGACTTCACCCAAACCGAAAACTCCGTTTCATTGTTTGGCGAACCTTGAGATCGGCGTGTTTGATAGCATGAGATTGTGGCTTTGAGTGTCCCCTTGGATTCAACCACCCTTGAATGGCGATATTGAAGTGCAGTGATGCTGGTGTCTCGAGGTGTACATTTGTTTGGGTGTATTTGCGTTCCTTCAATACCTACTAACATGCTATAAGTAATATAGTCCACTGTTTTTTGTTGTAGCCGATCATATTCTGCAACAGCAGAGGAGTTGAAAGCTGTTTACGAGACTTTCGCGGGCATCTTTAACCTGCCTCATAACTTTGAACGCACGGCCCCAATCTACAAACCAGAAGACATGAGCCTAAGACGAGGCGACAATAAAAAACTGGCGGAGTTGGCTGAAGCTGATGCCCGAAATCAAAAGCAGGCCTTTTTTTCGAACCCTCAAACCGAGTTATTGTGTGCTATGTTGGAAGTGACAAATCCCAACGCAGCGCTGATGGGAAAGGAGTCGTATAACCTGTCTGAAATGGCCAGTCGTATAATGACAAAGAATGAGGAGGAAGATGACGATGACGGTGTCATCAGTAGTGATGAGGATGGATTTGGACCGAGTCCGTCGAAGTCGTCTCGAGTGGTACCGAATCCCGAGGAGATAGAACTGGATGAAAGTTACGAACAGGAAACAAAATCGGTGGGAGGCGTTTATGGAAGCGAAACCTCGGAAGCACCGATGAATGAGAACGAGTATAACCCAGAACCGATTATTAAAAATCCCGAGGTGATTGACATTGATGGCATGGAAGATGATGGTGAAGAGGAAGAAGAGGAAGAAAATGCAGAACCAGAAGCGTATGTACCGCACTCTGTGACTGGTTGTCGGACTGATACCGAAGTCACTTACAATCCTCAACCAATGACTGCAAAGGGTTCGATTGTGGAGGAAGGCATGCCAAAGCAGAATGTATGATCTCAGATTGCTGAGCATTTCGTGTATAGATGCAAACCTTGTAAATAGTTCATCTACAAGATAAATTAACCGGAGACTCATTTGACTTTCTAGGAGCGTTTTAAACTGCGAATTGGTGGGTCGCAGGGTTTTGCGAATTACAAATGTTTTTTTTGTGCATGTGCGTTAGCGTGACTCGCTGCTGGATTTGCTGGTGTAATGCTAAATGGTGATGAGAGTATTTTAGTCCCCGTCAGATGCATTGAGGTCGTTTTTTTGTTTTGAGAAGGCTGCTATAATGCCTTTATTTGGCCACTTGTATGACTAGAGACCACCGTAGTGTTCATCTTGTCGTTCACCGCGTGAGCTAGGCTGCAGTCCAAGCCTCCTCCTTTTGCTCCTGGATGCAAATATTTAACTCCACCTGATGCCTTCTGCTACCTAATGGTAAGTTGTCTTAAGACGTTACGGGCTACATTGATGATTTCTGTGATCATTCAGTTATCAAGATTTAAAGTGTGGTCATGAATGCATGTGACATATTTGCGATTGCGTTGGTGAAATATGTTCCCGGGCTCTGGCTAGATATAATGCGAAGTCATTCCCTTGCGATGTGCGTGACGGCGGGGTCTTCTTTTTACTGCCTGAAGTCGTGCTGCTCACACTAAAGCCCATGGGAATGGTTTTGCCAAATGCTCACTGAGTGATTGAAGGGAGAAGTCAGTGAAGTAGCATAATTTGTAGGAAGGTAGAGACAACTGCTTGCTAGTCTGATACCGATTGCCCTATTAAAAAACCTTTTGCAGTCAAATGTGGGATATAAGCAGTTGTTTAGCGACAGTTTCTAAGGTTTCATGAGTCCTGATGTTAAATGTAGTCATGGGATCAAAGGGGCTAATGCAGTTTCATCCTTTAAGCCAATTCGTAATCGGTACTGTTTTGACAAAGGCAAACATTTTCAACAGTTGCTATCAGTTTTTATCATGCGTTAGTTCCACAAGGGGATTCTTCTGATGGCAAGTTAGGGTTCTTCAAAATATTGCAGACTAGCTCAGTGTAAAATATGTGTGCAATGCATAATTATCGTAGTTTCCAAATGGCTTTGAAAGCTGAAGCATAGCGCACACACCACACATATTCATGCACAAGCACCAAAATTATCATCGAACTTTGCAAAACAATCTAAAGCTTACATATTATGGGATTGAGTGCTTCATGCAGAGATGTGGCAAAAAAGGTAACGGGATCGAAGGAAGGAACCAAGCGATTAATCGGACTAGCTAGTGATGCCACAAAGATTAGAAATTTACCTCGTTACTGCAAATCGGGCAGTGGCTTCCTTTAGACTAGATGAAATACACAATTGCTTAAAATTGCAACTTAGCCTACTACTTTCAAGATATTTAAGAACTAAAACATTACTGGCAAAAACCTGAAATGCGCAGTAAGCATATAATGGTTACCCTAATTAATTGTTTGATTACATGTTTGTTTGGGTGGGTGGGTTGAACTCGGTGGTGCCGCTGTTTTGCGGGTACTTGTCGCTGTAATTTGTACAAATGCTTGATTCCTGTTCTCTTCGACTGGTTTTCTGACTAGCTCCTTGTAATCTATTATAATGAATACTGGGCTGTGGTAGTCTTCCTTATAACTTCAAAGGTGGAACCAGTAGTCTTGTGTATTATTATTATTTCCTTTTTAATAATCCTCCAGACATCTTTGCATTGTACTTTGGTTTGCGTTCTTAGTGCACGCTAATTTTTCGTCGGTTAGTAAGATTCACCTCATCGGTGCCTTAAATCTACTTGTTTGGTGTTTTCCTGGCTAGTGAAGAAACAAGGACATTTTTTGATGCCTTAAGTTAGCATGCGTATACCTTTCTCTGGTTGGTGATGTAAATTTTTGTAGATGGGGGAAGCGAATTCCAAGGCGGCATTCGAAATATGTGTGGTAACGGTGGACTTCCTAGGCAGCAGCCTTGGCCCAGGCATCAATATGGTCATGTTCGATAACAAAAACAATCAATCTCCGGTTATTGCGTTGGATCATATTTTTCAAAATGAGCTGGATTATCATCAAGCCAAGTTTACGATTGACCTCCAGCCTTGGAGCAAACCAAAGGTGAGGCTTAAACAAGACTCGTCACTGTTCTGGACCTTCATAGTTGTGGCATTTATATTCCAATTTCGTAAGTTCGACAAATTGTCAGATTAAGCTCCCTTTTTCTTTTCGACCCTTGAATGTATGTATTGCTATGGACTTGATTTTTATGTGAGCTCTTTAGGTTTCTTTCTTTTAGTGAGCCTTTACAACTAGTCGAATCTTTTGTTTTATTTAGTGCGGAAACCCTGTCCGTTTTGATCATGAAATTTTAAGCGTTTACTTAGCACCATCTCATTCACCCTGTAGGCTATGACCCTGGATACTTATCAGCAAAGCTGTATGCTGCGATAAAAATAACTCCCCTTGCCAAAATATGCTTTTCATGTTTGCCGCTTTCTGTCATTGTGCTAATCATTTGCATTTTCATGTCGCGTTCTTATCCAAATGGTAATTTTTGCAACATCGTGTCAACCTTGATCGCTTTAAAGACTTGCATTACAGCACTTAAAACAAATGTTCCGACTGTGGCGAGTTCCAACATTAGTTGAGGGTAAAATGAATAGCGCTTTGAATTTCTATTCCTGTCCACTTCAGGTTGTGTGTAATTGAGGTTTAAACATACAACCTTAGCTGTGATTTCGGCTTTATCATGGCCTTTTACTGCCTTTTGCCAGTGCCAATGTTTATCTGGCCAAAGACTCATCTCTTCAACAATCATTCTCACCATGTTTAATTGATGGAATCGTTTAGGACAGTTTTAGTCCATCGAATACCTTTAAAAATAGATTGCCTCTAAAATAATTTCACGGAAGGTTGGTTTCAAAATAGGGGATCAAGTAATTACATGAGATCTCTTGCCCACGTTGAGACTATTTTCCTCTAAAGGAAATAGAAGCCAGCTACAAAGTAAGGTAACTGCTCCTGATTACTTAGTTTTCTGCCCTTTTGATCGACCCATCTTTTTTCTACGGATGGTTACACTTTTGGAAGCGATTAGGGTTGCCTAGTGGATTATCATCAGCATTTTGTGGGTGATGATGTGACACTGTTTCTTCCCAAACATTCACCGCAGACACTTCTCACGAGTAGGTCCTACAGCGGCGAATCGCGGGCATCTTACAGTCCTCTAAGAAGCCTAAGCTGTGCCATATCAAGCCAATGGATTTTGAGAGTAAATTTTTTTGCCTTTTACCCAATGTGCGTTCTATATCAACGGGTATGACTTCCAGCCGCATTGTCATTGAAACCCAAACCATCAGTTGTTCTCCATACACATTCACTTCTAATTATAGCTTGAGAAAAACTTTTCCGTGTGTTATGCATCAGGTGATTGATTGGTTTGAGTGGATGTGAAGATAATTTCATCACCTTCAAAGTAAGATGGAAATCCAAACTGCCTCCCAAGTTGCGAAGGCTAGATGCCTGATGCATGTGGCTCTGCACACCGTATAATGGCACCTCGCATGAATGTCACATCCCAATGCATCACTGTACGGCATCTTAAGCCATATCAACACTGTATTTCGTTGGCTTAGAGAACGGCTAGAAGGTCTCTTCTAGCAACAACACTTATAATGCAAACGAACTACGGTCAGGCTAACAATGAATGTTGTGGAAAGGTCGGAAGTTGTCGTTGTAGAAATGGGCGGTGTATGCGCCTCACTCCAGCCTTGCTTGCACCGGAAGTGTCGGGGCGGTGACCACTCCTTACTAGTTTTACACCTCTGGATTGGTGAAGGGCAAAGGAAACAGCTCTTTCTAAAGCACACCACAGGTCTGTTTGATAATATTAGATAGAAAATTGCTTTAAGCAAAGCAAGAAAATAGGCCTTGATGCGTGCAAATTGCTTCGGTACAGATACACATTCTGTTGTCTCTTTTCAAATCTTGGCATCTGCATGCTTCCATCGCCTTGGTTCTCTTTTCAATGTTTGAATAAGCAAACTTGTGCAAACCTCTCCTGTCTTGCCACTACATTGTCTCAATTAATTAGTGTTGAGCAATGGGGCACAGTGTCGTCACCCACTTTGAGTCGAATCACCAAAAGCACAATCGTTGATGGGCGCCTGTGTTGTGTGCATCGTTGGAACTGCATTGACTTACCTCGCCATCATGTTACGCACTGATTGCTTGTTCGTCTTAATGCCCACCGAGGTGGTGAAGTGCCGATTGTCAGCTTCACATATTCGAAACCAGTTAGCAGAGGTCCACAGGCTTGAGTTTTATTGCTTCACCCAGCAGCCTCATTAATCTCCACAAGCTATCGCATGCATCAACGCACTTTTACTCGGCTGGTGTAACGGCATTCGTAGTTGACTGGCTTACGAAATGCACATCCTTTTTATGTCATCAAATTGGCTGGAATTCGGCCTTTGAATATTCCAAATTTGACCCGAATGACCATCGCATTATTGAAGCACATTTAGGTGATGTGAAATCATTTCACACTACTCTTCACCTTTACGTCATTTTCAGACCTTTGGAAAGCTGCATCACATCGAATTCTGGCGCACTGATGGTGGCAGTAGTGGTAGCGGCTCGGTTGAAGTGGCGGCTTGGTACCTTGATCGTGTGATCATCCGTGATCGTCGATTCGGGTTGACTGGTGAGTGGGACTACTTTTTCTTCCCCCTACACGACTGGGTGGTGCCGGCAGCGCAGTACGTCCTACAAGACTGTGAGACATTTTTGCCGCAACAGGATCCCTATCCTGATTTGCGGCATGTACAGTTGGCTCGAAGGCAACAACTACTTTGCTTCATGCAGAGGGCGAGTGGACTTCCCGTTGAGGTGAGATGGTGGTGAGACCACGCAACTTTGTTGAAGCTCTCATTAATTCTACTGCCTTTGGTGCGGTGAAGAAGGTTGTTGAGGCCTTTTGATGACCACTAGATGGAAGCTGCTGTAGGTGAAGTGTGATGGACAGTTGGACAGACGAAAGTGAGGAGTAGCAATCACTTCATCCATTCCTTGTCCGCCCATGTTGTTGAAAGAGGATCCAATTTTTTATTCTCTCTTTTAAAAAAATTGAAAAGGAAAAAGTTGCGTTTTAAACTCCTTGTCGTGTGTTTTATTCAAAGCTCTGTCATAAACAATGACCTCGTGGATTTGACTGGAGGGTTTTGCTTCCCGTGAGAACGTTCTTTTGTGTCCTCGTCTATTTACACGCACACACACACCTTCTTTGGACTACTCTTAGGCGTGTCAAAAAGTTCTTTTTTGACCCCCTTTTTTTGTGCAGATCGAATTTCGTTTTTGTTCTTAAATCAGACTTGAAGTCTTGGGCATAAATTTCCATTTTTTTCTGTCTCCTTCCTTGCCAATAGATAAACGAAGTGCCTACGACGGAGTTGTTCTCTTACGATTCTAGAGTGAGTTTCCGATTTGTAATCGTCTCTTTTGATTTTTATTTGCATTTTATTAGATCCCTCTTCAACAACATTATCGCACACTCTGATCTCCTCAATTCTGCCGGCCTTGTCATCCAACAACTCGTTTTCTTTAGCTCTCCCACCGATTCGAGCCATGTCATTTCCCACCACTTTTCATTCCACTTGTGTCCGCATTACTTATTCCTCCTGAATGCATTCATTCCAGATCCACGTAGCCGTTCAGTCATTCACTCACCTTTTGTTTGTTCATCCCGGCTACATGCATCCATCCACTTGCCCATTGTGGATGCCTCCTTCCATTCACCCTTGTATCCACCTCTCCTCTCCCCTCCAGTGGAACATCGAAGACGTCGTCTTGGAGCTGATCGATCGAGTGGGCCTTGCGGTTGAGTACAGCAGTGAAGAGTCTTGGGACTCCCTCGATTCCATCGGCAATCTCTATAAACGTCACAACATCACTGAACCTTTGGTGCGTCGACTTTCCATGGTGTTTGAGCACACTGTTGCCTCGACTCACTTGACATTGCGGTTACGCTTTGCACCTGTAGAGTCTGTCCTACTGGATGATGAATGATGTGGCGTTTGGCGCACAGCGCCTGAAAGGCTGCAATCCCTTTGTTATTCGATTGTGTACAGAATTTCCGCAGAGGTAAGATTCGCTTTTGCAAGAACGTCTTTACTGATTGGAGGAGCGTAAGGACACCGCGGTGGGGAAGTTGAGGATTGACATCTGCTTTGGGTCATCGCATTAAAAGGCAGATCTAGTGATGAGGTTCATACCCTTTGGTGACTGCTACAGCTACTCATAATCGTAAATTAGTGACGTAAGGCCGAGTGGCCTTTGTTGTTTCCTTTGATTATTTTAAATAGAAAAGCAAACCAAGTTGAGCTTTGCCGTGAAGTAGAAACGTGTCGCACTTTTTTTTGACTTGCCTCTACTGAGAAATCGGGAAGGTAGTTGATGTTGCTGTGTTTTGGTCTCTGTTGATTGTTCCGGCTTACTAGCCGACCGTAACCACACCCACCTCAAAATCCGGAAACGATTAACAAGAGAAGTAGGGAGATGATGGTGTTGGAAAGCAACAGTGTAGTACTCAACCTCTTAATGTCATCATCGTAGAGGAGAGTGGAGACGTTGGAATTTGGTGGGCTATTGTTGTCTCCTGGGGCCTCTCCAAAGGTCTCCCACACATGTCATCACTTTTTGTGGGGGATTTTGGAGGGGAGGGGGTAGGGGATGGAGGACTTCGACGGCCTCACAACCGATTCAGGAAAGTCACTCTGCACCACGTGTGCAGCAAAGCAAAGCAAATAACTTCTTCTTTCACCGAGGGTGAGAGTCCAATTTTAACATCGTGCCTCCAAGTAATGGAGTTGTGATGACTGCGTTAGCACAAATAGACCCTGAGTAAGAGTATGCTTACATTTGGGTCAAAGTGTGGTGTTCATACTACTGATTTTTGATAGTAGTACCCGCCCATCAATATTCCCATGGTGTATAGGTATGGATGTTAGTAGCACCTTGAGGATTAATAATTTCAAGCAGTTAATTGGGCTCCATCTCCCTTGTTCTTCTTCTCTTACAGCATGATCTCTCTAAAGGACTGGATTGTACCGCATTTGGAGGGTTGGACACTTCAGCAAACACTTGTGGCTCGAAGGATTTTCTATGTTGACTACTCCATCATGCGCGGTCTTCACTGTCGGCAAGGCAGAATGATGTCGGCTCCCTTGGGACTTTTCTTTTATACCGAGAAACGTCAACTTCAACCCTTGGCAATTCACCTAGATCCCCTTTCCGGAAATGATCAGTTGGTGGGTTCTGTGTAGTTTTGGCTCACTTTCACAGGGAAGTACATGGGTTAGACGCAACGGTAGTAACAATCTAGATGTCTAGCCCTCTTTTCGTTTTTCAAAGGATTATTATTGTCGACCACCTTAGCGCTTCCAGTGACTCGATAACCATGTAGGAATGGAAAAGAGCTGGCTCTTATTTTAGTAGAGATTGATGTTTCTTACCTTCGAGCCTCTTTTAGCTCTTTCGCTGCACCGATTCTACTGAGGAGTGGCTCCAAGCTAAGCTATGGTTCAACCTTGCTGATTCCTGTCACCACATGGTCGTCGGTCGCCTCCTTACTCACCTTATTCTCGAGGGTGTCTACGTCTCCCTACGCCGAAATCTTGCCCAATCACATCCGATATATCAGCTTTTGGCTCCACACTTTCGAAGCTTCCTCGCGGTGAATCAGAAGTTGAAGGAATGGATATTGGATAGGGGCTGGATAGCACGGAACATCCAACTTACACGAAAAGGCATTAAACAGTTGCTTCGAAGGAGTTTCAAACAATGGCGATTTGATGTTCAAGCAAACGTCTATGCTGAATTGGAGTCCCGGGGGGTTAGTTGGAGTTTATGGCGTTGATGAGGTCATAGGTGTATGATAGAAAGGCTCTGGGAAATTATCCATATCGCGAAGACGCATTTGTTGTGCATGCAGTGATGGAGAAATATGTGATGCGGTTTCTACGAGTGTTCTACGGTAAGCAGACGTTATTTCTATTCACTTGCCTCACAGCTCAAGGGTCTGTCTCCCTCTTGGAAGACGTTGAATTGCAAACATGGCGGAATGAGATGGCAGATCCCATGGAAGATGCTGGTCTTGGACTGGAAGGTATCCCTCTTGGAAAGGCTCGTGTAAGACAAATTTTTAGTCATCATTTTCTTGAACCATACATTGTGTCATTTGAGTTACTTTTCCATCTCTACTCTTCGACTTTTTGGAACCTCAAAAGCTACTCTCCTCAGCTTTGCAAAGCTCCTTTCCTTTCATAGATTCGTAATGGAGTTGTCTATCCCATTGGCAATATAGCTGGTGTCTCGTCCCACTCCAATGCCAGTTCTTTGAGTGCTGCTTCCAGTGTTAGCAGTGGTGAATGCGTTTTTGGATTGATAACTCTGGAAGAAACCAAATCTCTCCTTATGGGCATTCTTCATCTCCTCGTCATTGTCTCAGGCTCGGTTCTACGTCTCCCAATGTTTGATGAGTACGGATTTGTGGCGCACTACCCTCTCAGCCTATTCGGCAGTTTCCCACTTCGAGAAGGTGCGTCCTCTTGGCTGGTAGATGCACAAATTCTAAGGTAATCCGGTACTGATACCCTTAACAGTCGATGCACGGTGTGTGCTCCGAAAGGTCGACAAAAGTGTCACCTTCTGCAACCTAAGCCGCAAAATATCGGCCTTTGGATGTCTAAATCCTTTGTGGTCATGAGGTGAGGTGGTGATGCTATGGCTTGATATCAGCGTTTTGGGAGTTTTGGATTTTCTTTCTTTTTTTTTTCGTGGAAATTAAGTTCTATGGTTTTTATGACTCTGGGACGGTTGTGGCCTATTGATGGGACTGCCTTTGGGATTGTAACAAATGCTTCATTTTACTATGTGAATTAAAAATGCACGACGTAAACTTAAACCTTGATTTGTGGTGATGGTGGTCGTCTCGCCTTTAGATGAGGAGGAGGTGAAAAGAAGCACCTCAGACAGTTGGAGTGGCCTACGCTCTCTCTCCGCCTACGACAAGACTGTCGCCGCGTTGCCAAATCGGCGAATGACTGTAGAAATGGTCCTCTATACGCGAGTCGCCAGTCGAATTCGCCTCTCCAACTTGGGCCACTATGACACCAACTACATTGTGGATAAACGAGCTCTGGCTGTGCTGGAAGAGTAAGTTTCGTTTTCCTTTTTCTTTGAGGTCTTAATGTCTTTCTTCCTTTCTTTCTTTTTTTGGTAGATTTCAGTCTGACCTTAAGGCAGCGAGTGAACAGATTGGTGCAAATAACCGGTTGCGTGATTTGCATCACAAGTACTTGGCTCTGGATCCTGCCGTTATGCCAAACTACCCGGGCATTTGATTTGGAAGCACAGGCCACTTTTCTGGATCTCCTCTATCCGTCGGAAATGCATTTTATTTCCCCTTCTTTTCCTCTCTTTTTTTTCCTTTTTTGGCTGTCTGTATAGCGGATGATTTTCGATTTGTTGAGCATTCCAGTCGCCTTTTTACACCAGTCTTAGTCCTATTGGTACCTCGAAATATACGTATTTTTTTCTTCTTCTTCCATGGTATGCCAGTCTCCTTCCTTCCTTTTGTCTCCACAAAGGTGATGCATTTTTGTTTCGATTTTAAGGAATCTTGAGGTTGAAGAGACTCACTTTCACTATGACATCGGTTCGCCTTTTGACAGTCGGGAAGTTTTCGATGGAACAGCTGGAATCGCTCTTCAGGTAGGCTTTAACGTCAACACATACTTTTTTTGGGAGCTGTGGCGCTCTGGAAGGTATTTTTTCTTGGCGATTGGCTTTCTTGGGGGCGCACTGGTCTTCGGAACTCCCCCCAAGGGCACTCGGGAGCTCCGTCGCTGCTACGGTCACTTTGAATGAGTAGTTTGGAAATAATGCCACCAGACAAGTCGAGCGGTTGAGGCTTGCTGGGTTGTGTTCAGGCAGTTCTTCATCTTGCGCTTTTCTCTCTTGCCAAAGCCAGCGCCTCCTTTTACGAGTAGATCTTGTCTTTTGAGTACAGCTGGGTCCCCTCATTGACTAGCACCGAGGGGATTTCTCGGGAAGAGATTGAGGGCTGAATGAATGCTTGCTTTCTCATTGATAATCTCTTTGATGTGCTTGTCTGATTAACACATTATTGCATTTCGATGTAGAAATCAGCAGTAATTTGAGCTTCTTTCCATCCCCCTTCTGTTGCATTTCTTCAAACAAGTTATTTTTATCAACATTGTCCTTCACACTCTAACATTGAGGTGTTTTGACGCATCGCTACGACCACACAATTCCTTGAGCCAACAACAATCATCCCAATCAAGTGTGCCAGGGAGTGAGTGATGAGTTATTCTGCTACCGCCCACCCCATTGTCGGCTAATTCCCATCACCTTTGGAAGTCAGATTGTGCGGTCACGAAGGTTGAACAAAACAACTTCCACAGCTAATGACATGAGGGGCAGCAGCAATGGATGGACGAAAAAGACAAACACAGACGCACACAAACACAATGTGTTGGACAGAATCCTGACAGATTGACGCACTTATGCCGCATAATGTGCATGCAAATATGTGATTGCATGCATTTCGGTGTTCCTTACACGCAAAAGCTGAGGCACGGGGAAGGGAGAGGCGTGGGGGCAGTAGAGCTTTATATCGCACAGCCATATCAAAGTCAACATTCACCGTCTTTGGTAGATTGTGTCACTTTTCTTTTTTGCCAAAGTCAATGCCTATTTTGCAATCTCATTAAGGTGATAAAAGTTTTTGTCGGATTGAATTTGTTAAGTGGAGACATTGCACGACATATGGAGGCTTATTCCGTTAAGTCACTGGGTTTCACCACATCCAATGCTGCCGGTGCAACTTGTGGATTCGATGTGGAGGTTGGTGGTTTGTATTGTCACAAAGACAAAATTTGTGTGTAAACACGATGTAATGCTGTTATAGGTTTCATCAAACTGTGTTGATTTGGTGAGGTGGAGACAATTACCTCCTCTTCTTGTATTCTAGGTTAACCTCTGTGTTAGTTCAACCTGCACGTGGTGTTCAACGTCAGGAGGCAAAACGATACTGGGCCGAGGATGGCACATTTGATCCACCTGTACAGGTTGTCATAGATCGTTTCAAACGTCTGCGTTGGGGTGCCTACATTCATCCACGGGCTGGACGTAGAAAGCATCTCTATAGGTTCGCTCATCTCCTTTGTTTTTTTTCTTTAGTTTCGTGAAATCCTTCTGTACTTTGGGGAGTGGTGAAGTCTAAAAGTTGGAAGAAGGAGAACTTTTGATTGGATTTTTTTCCCTTGTTTGGCTTAGATTTTTTTCGTTTTAAATTAACCAGGGATGCTTCTTAGGAGCCTTTCACGGGGAGTCTCTTCACTTCCTGGCTGTCAGGCTGCTGTCAAGATACGAAATTTCTCTCTTGTGCAGGAGGTTTGTCCTTGGCTGTTCTGGAGCGCTCTTCTATTAGTTCATGTGAGAACTTTGTACATGTGGAAATAACTGCCCTAGTGACCAGCTGCTAAACAGTGTAATTGGCATTCTTTCTTTAAAAAATGGCAGTGAATTAAAACCATTGGCTTGACCGCATTGACTTGGCCACACCCCATGACAATATTTGTGGGCAGGTGCTACTATCAAAGATCAGTAGTATGAACACCACATTTTGACCCAAATGTAAGCATACTCTTACTCAGGGTCTATTTTTGCTAACGCAGTCATCACAACTCCATTACTTGGAGGCACAATGTTAAAATTGGACTCTCATCCTCGATGAAAGGAGAAGTTATTTGCTTTGCTTTGCTGCACACG